ATACACTGCCATTCAAAAGTTTGGGATCAGTAAGATTTTTAATGTTTTTAAAGAAGTCTGCGTTTATTTGATCAAAAATACAGAGAAAAAAAACAGTAAATTGTGAAATATTATTCCAATTTAAAATAACTGTTTTCTGTTTGACTACTTTAAAGTCCCCATGAAATCAAAATTAAAGTTTTTTTGGGTGTTAGTATCAATATGTTAGTCTTAAGGTTATCTATAAGGCAGTGTGCTCCAAAACAGTGACAAAATTCGCATTTAGAAGATATAAGCATTCAAAGCTTTTAGTTAGTCACTTCCTCCAAAACAGCTGAACGATTTTTTTCATCCTCATCAAATCTTCTGTCCAATCAAATGCTCTCTAGAAGCCGAAGTGCCTGCCCCCTACACTATAAAATAGACGCTGAAGCCACGGCTGAGATCGGTCACTTGTTCACAGTGTAGTATTTCCTGTACAGTGAATGGCACGTAGTGTACAATGTAGGTGATACGGAACGATTCAGATAGTGTAAATATGCTTTCGATTGGGGCAAATAAGGTCTGGTTTCACGTTGTATCACACGAACCGCGGCAGCGCACGCAGTCTGATCCAGACTTTGGCTCCGGTCCAGAGACACGATCGCACGGAGCGGATCATATGCGCGAGTCGGCATATATTAAACACTTTTAAAACTACACAGCCTCAGCATGATTATGATCACTATTTTGTTTTACTAGGAGTTTCATATTGAATCTAGGGGGTAATCTATTAGACTGTGGCTGTCAAATGTGGCTTTACCGAGCTCAATGGCTCTGACCTGTGCAAACAAAAAGCTATTGGCTAATTTAAAAAGGGGTCGATATGTCCCGCCCTGTCTTCCTGTTTCAGTTGAAATTACGTCACCACATAGAATAACGCTGCGTGTTTCAAGGCACTTCAGGGGACCTTTAAGCTGGGGTTGGCAGAATTTTAGTCCATGACTAGTAGCTTGAAAGCATCTATATGAACAAATACTTCAAAAAGTCGACAAATTTTAAGCAAATGTAAGATTA